CCCCACCCATGCACCAGGCCTCTATCCTATATAATAAAAGGGTAATATGCAAATTGACCCTAACAGCAGAACGACTGGGAATGACTGGTCACTATGACACACACTGACCACCAGGGGGCAACGCTCAATGCTGGAGCTGCCCCCTGGTGGTTGGTGCACTCCCACAGGGGGAGCTCTGCTCAGTCACAGGCCAGGCTGACGGCTGCCAGTACAGCTTTGGTGGTGGGAACCTCTCCTGCCTCCTCAACAGTGCTAAGGATGTCCGACTGCAGATTAGGCCTGCTCCCTGCTGGCAAGTGGGCATCCCCTGAGGGCTTCTGGGCTGCCAGAGGGATGTCTGACTGCCAGCTTAGGCCCAAACCCCCCTGGGGAGCAGGCCTAAGCCAGCAGGTGGTTATCCACTGAGGGGTCCCAGACTGCGAGAGGGCACAGGCTGGGCTGAGGGACACCCCCCCCACCCCCATGCACAAATTTTTGTGCACTGGGCCTCTAGTTAACTATAATTTAGTTAGACTTGTTTTTAATATTTAGATATATTTCCCCCATTTTGATTTAATTTTGTTTTTTAATTAGATAAAATATTTACATGGTTTCCAAGTCAGAATTATAGACAAGGTAAATCTGGAGATGTCTTGTTTCCCATTCCAGAACCCTACAGCCTTTCCTTTCCCCCCTGTAGATAACTATTTTTGTTATTGAACTATAGGTAACTTTTTATTTGTTATTGTTATTAACCTTTTTTATTTTGAAAAAATGGGGGAAATGCATGTTTATATGTTCATGAGGAAGGTCCAAAGAGGGAAAAAGTTATGCTGGAAAATGTCCTTGAGTAGAGAAGGGGGATGGAATTTCAGGAGCTGTTGGAAGGTGGAGCCTTTGTTAGGTGCATGGAGTTCCATCTGTGGAAAAGGAGAGAAGGCTGAGTGGGGCACATGTGCAGGGAGTAGTGGAGGTGTTGGGAGCTCATGGAAGCTGTCCTCTGCTTCACGTGTGTGAGTGAAACAGGAAGGAAGGTCACCACTGAGAGTGAGGAGGTGCTAAAGCTATGAAGAGGAAGGCTCAGTTGAGTTCAGTGGTTGCAAATCCAAGAGAAACCATTCAACATAGTTGTCTAATTTTTTCCCTCCAGTCATAGCCAGTTGCATGATTGTGAATGGGGAGTAGCAGGGCAGGACTTATTAAGAACAGAGTTCCTGAGCTTCCATGTGACTCCTGCCAGCGAGATGCATGCTTTAGTGTACGTGTGTATATCTGTAAATTAAAAAGGTTTACAGTATGTGCAACTCAGTTGCTTTGCTTTGTGTCTTTCTGTTCCTTATTCTTTTGAGTCACTAAATTATTTTCATGATTTCCCAGTGGGTTGAAACCTACAGTTTGAAAAACATTAATAGAGACGCTCATTTTTTCTGTGCCTTGATTCTCTTTCAGAACTGTTAACATTTTCTAGATAATAGCTAGTATTATTGCCTGCTGCCAAGTGCTGTTCTAAGCATTTGACACGTATCATCTTATTTAATATTCACTTGATTTTCCTATATTTACCCCATTTTACTTATGAAGAAGCTGTGGCCTTGAGAGGTTAAGTCACTTGGCCAAGAGCTGCCTGGTGGAAACCAGAACCTTGTATTTCCATGCTCTGCATTGTTCCTGGAGGGAACCATCTGGTTTACTTACTCTCATTTTCTCGCTCATTTTAAATTTCCCTGGAAATTGAATTTTTGTGACCCATTTCCTTTTAATTGAACTCACAGTAGCTGTTCACTATTACTGATTTTCAGGTGTGAGAAGGATGGAGGCCCTGATGGAATCGAACCTGGGACCTTTCAGTCCACAGGCCGATGCTCTATCCACTGAGCCAAACCAGTTAGGGCCCATTTCCTTTTTAAAAATAATTGAATTTATTGGGGTAACATTGGTTAATAAAATTCTATAGGTTTCAGGGATGCAATTCTATAATACATCAACTGTATATTGTACTGTATGTTCACCACCCCAAGACAAGTCTCCTTCAGATGACCCATTTTCTTAAGACCCAATGTATGGCAGTGCATTGACTTATGATAGTTCAACTTAATATTTTTTGACTTTACGGTGGTGTGAAAGTGATATGCATTCAGTAAAAACTGTACTTGGAATTTTGAATTTCATCTTTTCCTGGGCTAGTGATATGTGCCACAATACTTTCTCATGATGCTGGTCAGGGGCAGAGAGCCACAGCTCCCAATCTTGAGTGTAAATAACAGATATTCTACTGTGGGCATTGTATTAAATGCGTTTGCCCAGCTGTGGGCTAATGGGTGTTCTGAGCATGTTGAAGGTAGGCGAGGCTAAGCTATGATGTTTGGTAGATTAGGCTAATCAAATGCATTTTCAACTTAATGATATTTTCAACTTACAGTGGGTTTATCAGGACATAACCGCATTGTAAGTCAAGGAGCATTTGTACAAATATTTTTGCAACTTTATAATTTCAAACCTACAGAAAAATGCAAGAATGGTAATAAGGAACTTTACTCAGCTGTTTAGTTTTCCCCGTTTGCTTTATCATTGTTGCTTTCTCCTTCCCTCTCCCTCCTTGCCTCTCTTTTTAAGACATTTGAGAGGAAGTTGGGAGACACTGTGCTCCTTTATTTGGAAGTATTTCAGTGTATTTCCTAAGAATGAGGAATTCCTTACTCTGCCCTCCCACAATGCTCAAAACAGGAAATGTAACATTGATGCTATTATCTAATCCAAAGTCCATATTCAGGGATCCAGCCCAGGTGCTGCTGCTTGTCACAGCTCTTTAGTTTCTCTCTCTCTCCTTTTTTTTAAAAAATATATTTTATTGATTTTTTACAGAGAGGAGGGGAGAGGGATAGAGAGTTAGAAACATCGATGAGAGAGAAACATCAATTCAGCTGCCTCCTGCACACCCCCCACTGGGTATGTGCCCACAACCAAGGTACATGCCCTTGACCGGAATCGAATCCGGGACCCCTGAGTCCGCAGGCCGACGCTCTATCCGCTGAGCCAAACCGGCCAGGGCTCTTTAGTTTCTCTTAACCTGGAGCAGTTCTGCAGCCTTTTTGGCTTTCTTTGCCTTGATAGGCCAGTTGTTTTGTAGAATGTTCCTCCGTTTGAGGTTGTCTTTTTTCTCATGATTAGATCCAGGTTTTATATGTTGGTCAGGAAAAACACAGAGGTGATGTGTTCCTTGCACTGGAAGTACAAATTGATAAAGAGGTTATGGGGTTATTTTTTTTTAAAAATCGTGATTTTAGAGAAAGGAAGGAAGAGAGAGAGAGAGAAACATCAATGTGAGAAAGAAACATGGATTGGATGCCTCCTGTACGCACCCGACTGGGGATTAAACCGGCAACCTAGGTATTTGTCCTGACCAGGAATCCAACCTGTGACCTTCAGTGCACAGGACAACACTCCAACCAATTGTGCCATACTGGCCAGATATTCATGATTATTTTGATTATCAAAATAGTTTATACTTTATAGAAGGGTTCACTGCTCTGTTCATTTAACTGCAAATCTTGCTAGGGCCTGGGTGACAACTTGCGGTGTGCAGGTTGTCATTTCCCCTTGGTCGCCATGTAGAGTTCTCTGGCTTTCTGGCAGGCTCTGTGTCACAGCCTCCCGTACAGAGTGGTCAGGGCGCTCCTGGGTTCAGTAAGAATGAGCATTAGAGCTGAAATTCACTTGTCATGCCTGTTCTTATGCTTTTGAGAGTCATTTAAAGACTTTGTCTGACATACAACTCCTCTGAAAGCACACTCTGCATAGAAAAAGGTGGAGTTGGTTATTTAGATGTATTTCTGTCCCTTGTCAGTGTTGGCTGTAGTTTTTTCTGTCGTCCTCGTTGGATTCTGAATGAGTTGAGGGTCTGGATTAGGTGATGTTGTGTAACTCCCCACAGGCTTCCATCAAACTCAGTGCCCAGTGGCAACTTCAGTCAGACCAGCATCGCAGGTCCAGTTTATACCTTACAGCCATGTCTCCTGGTCTCTTAAAAATCTTAGACTTTTCCTCTCATTCTGTTTTTGAGGCTCTAAACAACTTTTCTGTGGTATTCCACAGCAGAACTAATGCTGCCTTTCACTTTGCATTTCAGCTGAACCTCTTACTGTCAGTTTCTAAATAACCAGACGAGTCCGGATGTGCTTGTAAATGGTCTGTCCAAGAGCGGCTGAGAGTCATGTGGCTGCAGGACACTTGAGGAACTGTACGTGGGAATGTCTCTGAGAACCACACATGCGTGCTACTTGTCGCTGACTGCAGGATGAAATACAAGCAGAGGGTTAAAAAATTGGTGTTTCCCTTGTAAAAACATCAAAATGCCAAAGATTAATCTATGAGCAGCAGTACCTGCCTCATTTAAATGGTCTCAAGAAATGTAATTTTTTAAGAGGTAACCACGGTGGGCACGCAGTGAAATGGTTCTTAGCAGAAGAAGTGCAATGAAAATAGGATGCAATAGATAGTGCAGAGAAGAACTTTATGGAAATACTAATTAGGAAGCTTCTAAGAATAAGATTTTTAAAGCATGAAACACTGCAACACTTTTAACCACTGAGCATTCCACAGTGATTATTATTATTTTTTTACTTCTAGAAATGTTGCTTCTACATTCAATAAAATGTTTCTCCGGTCACTTTGAAATTTAGTTTGGAGTCAATTGGATGCTTCTGAGAACACATGCTGCTTTTCTGGGAATTCAGGGTGTTATCTCCTGTGTCTAAAAAAATATATTGTTATTTTGTTAATCCTCACCAGAGGATATTTTTTCCATTGATTTTTTTTTTTTTTTTTTAGAGAGAGTGGAAGGGAGGGGGGGGAAGAGAGAAAGAGAGAGAGAGAGAGAGAGACAGAGACAGAGACAGAGACAGACATTGGTGTGAGAAAGATACATTATTGGTTTGCCTCCTACATGCTCCTGAAATGGGCCTGGGAAACAAATCTCCAACCCAGGTACATGCCTTTGACCAGGAATTGAATGCATGACCCTTTGATGTGCGGCCGATGCTCTGTTACTGAGCCACACCAGTAGGGCTATATTTTGGGAAGGTAAAATATCATTATTATTATTATTGAATTTATTGGGTTGACATTGATTAACAAAATCATACAGGTTTCAAGTGTACAACCCTATAACATCTGCACACTGCATCCCGTGCTCACCACCCAAAATCACGTCTCTTTCTGCCACTCTTTGCCCTCCCTTTGCTCTCTTCTACCTCCTCCCGCTCTTTTTCCTGTGTTTTTGATGTGTCAGTTTTAAGAGTCAGGGACCTCAGGGAAGGTCCCAGTGTCTGTATTCTTGAACTGCAGGGTTGCAGCCTGCTCATGTGCAGTATCTAGTGAGAATTTTCATGGCACAACAGCCAGTGTTTGTGCCTGGGAAGTACCATCAGGTGTGTTAACTCTGTACACACAGGAGAGAAGGAAACCTGATGAATAGCGTATCTCGTGCATGCAGGTCAGGGTTACCAGCCTTCTGTGCACTGCCTTCAGGTTTAGTAGTTCTTTATATTCAGTGGTTGTACCTGTAGCAAATACACTTCACTAACAAAGACAAGGAGGATGAAGATGGCCCACCCTTAGCATCTACCACATTATATCAGGGATCATCAAGTACATTATGCACGTCTATGAATTTTCCTACGAATACCTATTTCCTGAGTGGGTTGGTTTTGCCTCTAACAGTCAATGCAGCCTGCTTTTTGAATTGGAAGGAATTTTGAGCATTCACACGCTAGCCTAGAGATGGAGCACTGACGGGTGTTCTGGAATGTGGCCTGCAGACCTCATTCTGCGTGACTAGCAGACTTTCTCATCCCCTTAAAGCAGGCGCCCACAGTGTGTAGGTAGGTTACATGCCTGTCATTTTAAACAGGCCACTTGTTTTTCAATTCAGTTTAAGTTAGTGATGGATGTTGCTTGATAGGGCTGTATTTTGGGAAGGTAAAGGTGATCCATATTCATTCTTTGACATGAATGAAATAGGAAGATTGAATTTACTTCCATTTACTATTTAAAATACATGTTTAATTAAATAAACTGTAAAAACCCAGTTTTGTGTATTATGTTGTATATTTGATTTTTAAAAAGCCTTTCCAAAGAAATAAGGGCATGATTAATGTACTATACTATGATTGATGTAATTTGATGTACAGAGCAGTGTGTGTTCTTAAGGATCAAAATATTTCACAGCACTTGTTCTTGTGTTGAATCTTTTATTCTGAGACAAACACCTTATACAGTGCTGAGTAGGTGATAGTGGTCCAACTTGTTTGCTAAATGAATATTTGTTTAAATCTGTACAGTTTCAAGTATTTGCTTATACAAAGGGTGTACATACTTTCAAATAATTAATTTAAAAGGCTTTATATTATTTGGCTAGAAATTGCTGTTTTTAAGAAATGTAAATTTTTTAAAAAATAAAGATTTTTGCTTCCTAACATTTCTGTTGTGTGTGGATTCTTTAAAAATTTTTTAAATTGAAGTTTTTATTGCACTAATTTGTGGATTCATGTGCAATTGTAAGAAATAATACAGACAGACCCCAATGGTAACATCTTGCAAAATTATAACACATTATATCACAAGTAGGGTATTGACATTAGTGCGCTCCGCCAATCTTACTCCGACTTCCCCAGTTTTACTTGCATTGTGTGGATTCTTTTGGCAAGATGAATATTGTGGAAAGACATTTCTGAAGCATCTTAATGCTTCATTAGTTGAAGGATTTTAAATTTTTGTTTGTTTACAAAGCTGCCAATTTCCTGAATACTGTCAGCACAAATGGTTGTGTTGAAATTTAGCATTATTGAAATAGCAATAAAAACAAATTTGTATTTTCCCCTGGTTTAACAACTCCATATCTTTAAGTTCTCCTCTTTTACTACCTTTTAAGTGAGAAAGAATAGTGTCACCATAGTTTGTCACAGAGTCTGTTCATTACAGGCAGCTGGGATGCTGGTGAGAGACGTTACTCAGGCACTAGCTTCGTTGCCTCCTTCCTGGGCACTCTTCTCGGCGCTCCTTCCACTAACCAGCTCATCTGTCTGCTCGCCCTCAGCAGCCAGCCCAGCAGCTGCTGGGAACTTGAAACAGTGGCTCCCGTTAAATAGTGACCCGATGAATATTTTTATCTTTTTTGAAATAGTTTTTAAAAGTATTTCTGATTTTAGCCTAAGTGCCCATCAGTAGATGAATGGATTAGAAAACTGTGGTACATCTACACGATGGAATACTATGCTGCTGTAAAAAGGAAGGAACTCTTACCATTTGCAACGGCATGGATGGAACTGGAGAGCATTATGCTAAGTGAAATAAGCCAGTCAATGAAGGAAAAATACCACATGATCTCACTCATTCATG